CATTTTGTTTTTTAGTATTACTAACGAAAAATCATTTATTTAATCAATTATAACAATGATTTAAAATTCATATTCTAATTTATTGAGTATGCCTTTTTTTAACTGATTATCTAAACTTATTTTCGGTCTATATTTCCAATGAAAAAATAATACTTTTTTATAACTCAGAGTTGCATCGAATTGAAATTAATCTATTTTTACCTAAACAAAAAAGATAATACTCAATACCTATTTTTATCCATTAAATTTCATTTGTGACTTACTGCTTTTTCAAAATTAATTATACATTTTTAAGATATTAGCCCTTCTAGGTTTTAGAAATTTTCAAAATCGTCTTTTGATTTTTTTTTTTTAAGAAAAGAGTTTAGAATATATACTTTTGTGATATTCAGATTTTAATGAAGGCGATGGCGGTGACAATAGGCTACATATTGTGATCAAAAGCGATCAATTTAGTTTTCATTAACTTGATTATTGAAGGTGTATATTATCTTGTTAAGTAAAACAATTGTTATAGAATGAAGAAAAGTTGCATGTTTTAAACTTTTAATAGACAATTTTACCTAAAAGGTCAGATGAATAAAGCCTGTAAAAAGATTCTCACCACATCAAGAGGTAGGTATAATCGAAATATAAACATGTCAAATTATGCAATGAAAGATAAAAAAGCAAACGCCTCATATTCAGAAACGAAAAATGATCTCGATTTTCATGACCAAGTAGTATTATATTAAAGTTACGTCCATGATCGAGTAATAGAATTATTTGTACCTTTTAAACAAAATCCAGCTTATTTATATAGCTCTTAAACATCACTTTTAGTGTCATCACGATATGATTGTTATATATATAATTAATAAAACTTTTCGAAAGTTGAAACTCTCGGCCAAAATATATCAAGATTGTATTAATACATACACTACAATAAAAGTAACTTTAACTTTGATAACTGAGATAAAAAATTTGATTCTAATTGGAAATATCCTTCCTTAGAAAGGTGAACATTTTACCCGTGTCATTGCATTTTTTGGTTTTTATTATATCGAGATTTATTTATATCCCATGAAAGTGAAAGTTAATTTTAGTTCGATGTATCATGAGCATTATGATAATTTTTCAATTTCAAAATGAGGGGCAAATTTGTTTGTGTTTTAATTTTAGTTGCATAAATTTGAGATAGCATTAACATAACGACAACTTTGTATTTGTCAAATTTTAACACATGCGGTATTACTATTAAACACATCTTACCTTTATTTTTATAAAGTTGAATGAACTCATTCCATAAATTCATACATGAATAAAATTCATATTCATGATTTCGAAATGTTTGTAAGATTTTGTTTTTCTCAATTGGATCGTTGTCAAGGAATAATTTTTTGAGGTTTGAGCTTGTATAATTTTTAAAAACTCTTTTTGCATTTTAGTATCAAATCATGTGTCATCATCTCATTTTTTGGCGACAAATAAAAATTAACTCATGAATACTTTTAAAATATGAATGATCAACTCCATAATAACCTAATTAATTACAAAATTTACTTCTGAATATTTTAAGTAGATATATTGAGTTGTAATCTAAATTTTAGGAAGGACTCCATTAAAAATGTTTTAATTGGACTGATTTTTTGTTTGATTTATCTGATTTAATCGAGTCTGGTCTGATTAAAAGTTTTTTACATTTGGATCGAAAACATGTACCTAAAGTTAATTTATAATACGTAGTAGCTTTTTATTGGTCATTATATATCACACTGTATGTATATTACAAAGAATTACTCAAAATATTGCTTTCAAAATTTTAAAAATATAACTATAAATCATGGAAATTTTGTTATGTTCAATTAGAATCAATAAGGGTCCCACCAAAATAAATTCCTATGTTTATTTTAATGTGATAGAACCTTTGTCCCACTGACATTGGGACATGAGAGTGTGACACATTTATTAAGAAAAATAAGTTTATGTGGTTGATATCCAATTGATAAAGTAAAAATAAAGTAAAAAAAAATTTAGAACAACACAAATTTTACAAAATTTGACACGTAAAAATCTTAGTAGAATTTCACTAAAAATGAAAGATGAGACACTCTTAGCGAGATGGAGGTAATTTTATCAAAACTTGTAGTTTTGTGACATTTGGAGTCTGTTTAGACCCCTTGGTAGTTGGTAACTCATATATTCAGCTTACCGGCCAACATTTTTATCAAACGCGTAGTTTTTTACTTCACGCGCTGAATGGATTATTAATCAAAATAAGTAAGGTTGAAGCTAGTTTTATGAATGAATTGAATGAAGTTACTATAGAGGGCTGTTTTAGCTATTTTCCTTGTGAAATTTTCAAAATCATATCAATAAAATATATTGCAAATACATTTTTTTTTACAAATCCGTAGATTCAGCCAAGACAAAATTCCATAAATCTGTAGATACACTTTTTAAAATATTTTGTTTAATTTTCATTGATTTTTTTTTTTTTGCATTATAGAAATGTATAACACAATTTTCAATTAGTTCGACAATTATAAATTAGGACTAACTCTATGATTATTTAAAAGAAACATGCCAGGAAAAATGGAAAGAAATTAAAAACACGTAGAGCCCGTTTGGTAACACCAAAATTGAGTGAATCAGCTGTAATTGATGAAGTTTTGCCAGAAGCAATTGAATTGGCTGATTACGCTGAATATGGAAGAGTTATATTTAAAAAATATTTTATTAAAAAATAAGGAAAATTGATATAGAAAATAGCTAAAATGGTATCCCCATAGTAACTTCAGTCAATTCAATATATTAAAGAACATCGACCATAAATTGTCTGGATCTACTGAAATTGATGAACTTTTGGCTGAAACGACTGAATTCGTTTAATGTGTTGAAATATGGAAAAATTGTATTAAAAATATGTAGTACATTTTATTATTAACAATAAAATAAACACATTCTAGTGCAAAAAAGACAACAATAAACAAAAGTGATGAAGTTTGTGCGGCTTTATTCTAAGCTATCACTCATGATTAATTATGTGCACGATAATAAACGATTCTAAACTGCACAAATTGATGAAATTACTTTTTATTTTTATTTTTATACATACAACATTGATGTTATATGAAAGATAATAAAAAATTATGAGTTTTGATATGTTTTTTTATAAAAATTGGAGTACAAATGAAAAAAGATATAACACATACAAAAAATAGATATTTTTTGAAAGTGATAAACTATTTGTTATTATTATATATTCAATTTTGGTGTCATATAAAAGATAATAAAAAGTAATGAATTTTAAGATATATTTTGTAACATTCGGAGTAAAAATAAAAAAGTTATTGCTCTCTAAAATAAATATGATATTTAATTTCAGTGGGTCCCTAGTTATTTTCTTTTTCTAAAGAAACACGTACTTGTAGTAGTTTAGTACGTTGTAAATACTTCTACTACGGAGTTGAGTAATTTACTATTACTCTGAAAATAGAAATTAAGCCTTAATTGTTCCGTGGATGATTGCTAGTATATTGACACGTGTCTAAATCTTTCCCTTAATGTAGCTTCGAATTGTATTACTTATAGATTAGAAACTATTAATTTAATTTAGAATTAAATCAAAAGTCTAGTTTCAACTATGTTATTAAAATGTGATTTAGAGCCTTAGACGTTAGAGCCATTAACTAATTATAGCATAAGCGACTCTTACTATGTACTCCCCTGTCGTTAAAAAACGTATAAATTTGTGTATTCTATATGTATTTTATAATTATCGAAGTATGAATGATCTGATCAGATTGAAATTACTATGTAATTTAATGTTTCTCTATTCTTTTTTTTATCAACAAAACAAATGGCTTAAATTCAAATCATAACATTCAGATAGGGGATAAAACGGCAAAAAGACCACAGACAACCGTCAGCCCTCGAACCAAACTTAGAGTTAATCACCTCCAAAAAAGTAATATAACTCGTTGATCCTATGATAGACATAAATGAGCCAACGACAGTTATAGCAGACCTTTCATCACTCAATCCTAATGCAAGAGTCTTACAACAATAAAAGTAACCAACAGAAAAATAAACAATATGGACATGAAAAATAAATAACAAGCTAAATAAACAGTAAAATTAAAATACTGCTTCCAAACCCTAAATTCTCTTGCACTCCATGGCGGCGGTTCAGGAGGGGGACGGTCCAATAGTATTGTAGCATCTTCCGCCCCTTACCTCCGGTCCAGATCTGTTCCAATTCCTGGGCCCACGTACGCTTTGTCCATGACCTTCTGATCTCTACCATGAACGACATCCTCGAAACTCTCCACCTGCTGCTAGGCGTATACAACCTTTGGCCTCCATATATATAGGCGTTGCGGTCTACCGAAAAAGAGAGCCTCACGAAAGGCGGACGAAAGCCGCACAAGAAAGTTGCACTTCGTCGAAGACGAAAGCGGAGAAAACTTACCCCTAACCCTAGGGGAGACGAACGCATAGAGAGAGAAATGGACTAATTGGCCGATTTTAAAATAGGAGAACCTAATTGACTTTTCGTATTTATAATGTTTCTCTATTCTAAATAAACATTTTGAAGTGCAATTTCATTTTCATTTTCTTAATAGTTTTTTTTTCAAAAATATTATTCAAGTACAGTAAAAATGTTTATAAAATACGATGTATGATTATAGAGTTACTATAATAAGTTATGATTACTCAAGTGTAATTAAGTATTGAATATAAATTACTATGATCAAAATTATTATATTTAAGAGGTCAGATCTTTATAAACAACTGTAATTTTAATCGTAAGATGTAGTTATTTCTTTTCTAAAATGTGGCGTGCCGGGTATTGAAATATTGACATATTGTCAAATTGTCATACATAATTAACTTGTTTTCATAACTCACGGTTCTTGTTAACATTATATTGTCAATTCCATCATAAATTGCTCAACACGTCGTTGGCCATTTCAATGGGATTTGAGACTTTTTTTTTTTTTTTGAAAACCAAAATCTTAATTCATTTCATCATTGATAATGTGAAGAATACAATGGAATAAAAAAGAATTCTTTGGGAGAAGCATGATTAATAGATACCCTAGCTAAAGCATGAGCACTATTGTTCGCTTGTCTCCTAGTAAAAACAACTTGAAACTCGTTGTTGGACTTAAGCAGCAACCTGCAATCATCCACCAAAGACCCATACTCCAGATGAATATCACGGTCAGCTCGTATGTCATCCACAAGTCGTTTGCAATCCGACTCAAAAATGACTCTTATATACCGCTTGGTAATCATCCATGTCATGGCCTGTCTAAGAGCCCAAGCTTCAGCTTCTTCCGGACTGAACGTTGTATTCCACCACTCCGTTCGTGCCATAATATAGCGTCCACGGCAGTCTCTAGCACACACCCCGCAACCAGACCTTCTGCCATTGTCAAATAGAGCTGCATCTACATTACATTTAATGTAGCCTGGAGGAGGAGCTGTCCACTGTTCAACTCTCGGTGCTGCAACCGAGAGTTGGGATTTGAGACTTGGAGCAGCCACTTTTCTCATCACAACATTAATTCAAAGAGTCTTTGCCATTTTTGGTCCCTACTATTATCTCAATGACATTTTTGATACTCGACTTCTAACTTTTCTATTTTTAGTCCTCGACTATTGTGCTAGAGACACTTTTAATCTCCGACTTTAAGGTTTCCCACATTTAGTCTCTGAGTAATGTCAAATTGACACTTTTGGTCCTCTCATTATGATTTTCACACAATAAGTGGAGGACTAAAAATGTCACTATTATAATAGTTGAAGGACCAAAAGTGTCACTTTAATGAATGTTGAAGGACTAAATATGGAAATTTACAAAGACGGGTATCAACAGTGTCTTTAGCGCAATAGTCAAGGACTAAAAATGAAAAAAAAACAAAGTCGAGTACCAAAAATGTCAATGTCATAATAGTCGGAGGACTAAAAGTGGAAAAAACTCTTAATTCAAATGAAACTAAGAACACAAAGAATCGATATCGTTATTAAACTTATTTACTTCATTTTTTGGGACGAAACTTATTTAGGAAAATTCATGAGCATGTCTTTTGTCTAATATTGTCTATGATGAGTTCCTAATAGACTAATAGTCACTAAAACCTACTCCGTATTCACGTACGTCATTGTCACAAGTCTAAAATTGAGTATAATAATAATCACTAAAAATTATTAATTTATTATTTTACATAATTATATATATACAATATATATAATTATATAATAAACACCTCTTAACATACAAATTGAGAGGACATCCTGGTTGTACATCTCTCTACATCCAAATAAGATTAAAATCATTTATTTTTGAGTGTTTTGATAATCATTCACAGGGAATTAATTTGGTAAGTTTTTGACTGATCATCATTGTGTAAATTCAAACAAGGTGACAACTTTGGTACCTTTTTAAAAAATGGGTATCGTACCTACCATTCATTTGATTGGACCGCATCACTTTATCATTTTTACTTTAGATTTAAATAATTCAACTGCTACATTCTCATTGGTCCATGTGGACAAAGGTATGATACTTTATGGGTACCATAGAATCTACTTTCAAACAACTTACGTATTGTAGCTAATGAGTTATTTTTTAAAGCAATTAATACCATACTATTTTTCATTTTACTGAATGAATATTATTCACCATTTTATATTTTACACCTTTTTGTGCATTGAATATTAGGTCATCGGTATGACATTCAACATCATTTCATGCACGTCAAATTGTTGATATTTACTCATTAGTTAAATATTTTTTTTTGTGCGGGACATATTGATTATTGTGCGTGTTATATGAAATTCGTGTTAGATATATAATGGAAATTTTTCTATCCACCTAAATGCATCATTGACTAGATAGTTTTCAAAACATTTTTCATATTTATTTTCACATCCCGTGCACTTATATATCCTTAAGTATAAAAACTCCAAATTAAAACACATAAAACATACACATGTGTTTTTGTTTGTGAAACAAGTAGAGATCCTAATATGTAACCGATTTTTCTAATGCACATAATGCAAATGCACATTTACCTTTCATAAATGCACAGTTGACTACTCAAAATTAAACATTTTTGCATTTACTTTATATCTTATGCAGATGTACGTTTGAAATTATATAATCGAGCTCAAAGCTAATTAAATCTTCTAAGATGGTCATCTTTTTTCATACTCCGTATAATGTATTCTCGTTGTTTCCAATCCTCTAATTTGTATAAAGATATAAACTCTTAACTCTTAAGCTCCACTTATACAATGATTGCTCTTTTTCAAGAAGTGCAAATCCTAAACGTATGGGTACGACCCACAAGGTGTATACCTTTTGAGTTGTACTTTAAAAATTCCATAAAAGGTAACAAGTCACTTAAAATACATTTGTGCCCTCCAATGACCGGTGTTCTAAATTGTTAGTGGTAGAAATGAATGTTACATGTGAGGAAGTGCACCATATTATTTGAAACCGTCATTTCAATTTGTCGTTCATTTATTATGATCATTGGATTTGTTCTCATTTCATAAAATAGTGTTCTCGTTAGAACTTAGAGCCACTCCCATATTTGCCAAAGGTGTAATATCGACAAAGAAAGATCAAAGCAATAATTATTTGCCAACGGCCGTCATTGAAATAACATGGTAGTTCGTAGCTAGCTAGAGCCATATATCTTTACCGCTGTGGCAAATGATGGATATCATAGCATGGGTGTATATATAACCACTAAATAATCACAAAGCAATTTCCACTTTAAAATTGACAGTTCAAGCGGGGCTCTATGGTTTGCTTAGACACAAAGAAAAGAAACAATGGTTATGTTTTCGGGATCATACAATTTTTTTCTTCTTAGCTTTTTAATTAGGGATTACAATTCTAAAACAACAAGTGTTTTTTTTTCTAAAACTCACGAAAAACTCAATTGCTTGTTATTCTTTGTGCCAGAGTGAAAAAGTTGTTCGTTAAAAACTACTCCGTACTATCATATAAATAATATCATATAAAATTGCTTCTCGTTTTTCAAGTTACTATGCAAAGAGACATTCATCACTCTTAATTAACTACGGATTGAGTATGACTTGATTTTATGGCAAGAGAAACTTTAATCTTCTTTCTACGAAGTACAGTTCTATACTTTTTTCTTTCAAGTGTCCACATAATTTACAAGACATAAAATATATAGAATTTACAATGACAAAGTCTTGAAAAAGGCAATCCTAGTTATTGTCCATATAGATCGATACTCGATATAGAGCGTGTTCGGATCTGATTTTTAAAATTGTTTCTGCTCCTTCAAGGAATAGAAACAGAAGTTGTAGTGTTTATGTGAAAGTGTTAAAATACTTCTACTACTCTAATTTTCTCCTAGAAGCGGTTTTTTAAGAAGATGGGGGGACCACTTCTGAAAACTGATTCTGCTTCTGTTATAAAAAAGAAACAGAAGCAAAATCAGTTCCAAATAGCCCATAATTTGATCAACATACTTTAACATCACTTTTGTTTTATGCTTCTGTAGTTCGATTACCCCATTAGTTTTATGTAACATTTATTTGACACCAAGACTAATATGTAGAATAAGAATTAGGCTATGTTTGGCATAACGAGCTGCAGCTGGAGTCTAATGTCTGAATTGTGCGCTATTGTTTGAATCATAAACTATTGTCTGAAGCTGAACTATAAAGTGCTGAGTCTGAACTGCTGGCTGAATGACGTAGATCCATTTGGTAAAAGAGCTGAAAAATGGCCGGACGATATGAAATTACATTAAAGAGCATATAATTAATTATTACGGAGGACAACATTTGAATTCAACACAATTTCTTTTGTAAATAATACTCTTCTATTAAGCATCTAGCTCATATCTTACCCCGGCACAATGATTATCCAGGTAAAAAAATTGCACCGTATGAATGATTGGTATAGAGAAATAGAATAAATTCATAGAAGAATGGATAATAAGTGAAGAATCACATAGAAGAATGAATTAGCACGATGGAGAAATCAAACGAAGAATTTTGCGTTCAAGGGGTAATGATAGTGTCCAGTGAAGAAATTAGAAGGATATTTTAGGAATGGGGTGTGGATTATACGATGGGCTGAAGACAAACGCTTCATTCTTTAATGTTTCCATTCAGTTCTATTTTTGCAACTTCAGCTTTGTCTAGCCCTTCATCCAAACACGTATACTTTGTTAATTATTGACTGAATTTTGAAATTTTCAGCTCATTATGAGCTAAAATAGCATGGCAAACAGTCTTAATCATTCTTAATCTTTTCCGTAGTATACTCCCTCTGTTCTCTTATAATTTATTTTTATGTAATAATAGGTTTTTTACAGGTTTTAAGAAGAAAACAGTAGGAATAATATATATATATATATATAGAGTGTAGGGTAAATGAAAAAGTAGGAAAAAAGTATATTAAAAAGAGTAAAGTAATGAAAAAGTAGGAATTGGAAAGTAGTTTGTAAAGAGTAAAAACGTAAGGGCAATAAAAGTGAGGGTATAAAAGTATTTTGATAAGAAAGACTTACTAAAAGGGGAAAAAGTGACAAATAATAAAAAACATCTCAAAAAGGAATACGAAAGTATGTTACTACCTCTGTAACATTCATATCGTTCCATTTTAAAGTAGGTGGGATTATGAATAGTGAAAGGGGAAAATAAATTATTGAGGTATGATAGGAAGATATGAAATAGTGTGTTCGAATGAAGAATAATCCAAAAAGTGATTGTAATACTATATTATTTTCAAAATTATTGAGCGTATGATAAGAAAATTTAAAAATTATAAAATATGAATGTTACAATTGAAAAGGGAAAGCGTGAAAATATGAATGTCGCATACTGGCCAATATTGGTTTAATTTGGTTGGTAAAAGGGCAAGTTGTGCTCACCAATAACGTATACAAAAAAAACTTTGTGTACACACTTTTACTGTTTACACAATTTTACACATTGCATGTCAAAGCTTTTTATTGCATGTAAACATGTTTTGTCTGTGATAGACAAAAAAAAAGTCTTCACAAAGCGTGTGTACAATGTGTAAATAGTAAAGTGTGTACACCAAGAAGTACAGTGTTGTACTTTTTTTAATCATTAAACCAACAAATATATTAAAGGCTAAAGCCTAAAGGTCTCAGAACTGGGTTGCTAGCCTATCAACTTCGAAAGTCCGATTCTTGGGTAATTTTTTGCGAGAGGAAGGTTTAATTCCAATAAATTATAGACTTCAAGGCTTCAAACCTCAAGTCATTACTTGGAATAAGCCTTCTCAAAAATGGAAATTGAATGTAGATGCGAGTTACCTAGCTGGTACAGCCAACGGAGGTGCTATCTTGCGCAATCGGAAGGGAGAGTTGGAGGTTGCGATTAGCTTTCCTATCACTGCTCGGTCGCCTTTGGAAGCTAAGATTCAAACCCTTATCTTCGCTGTGAGCTGGGCGGTGGAGGCAGGTTACACCCGATTTCAGGTAGAAACGGATTCATGGCTGGCTCTAAGCTATTTTGATGGTAAGGAAGGGAGACGATGGGAGAATGAGATTCAGGAAAGTTTGCAGATATGTTTTAGGAAGGAGCTGCGTTTGGGCCATACAAAACGGGAGGGAAATTGGGCCGCACATCATATGGCCCAAAACCGGACGGACTCCTTAATTGTTATATCCAATGTGGGTCAACTTCCGATAATGGCTAAAAGGGCTTATTGGATGGATTTTTTTGGCATTCCTTCTTTACGATTGTAATCTTTGTTTTTATTCCTCGGGTTAGGTTTGGTCCCCCCGACTTTGTAATTATTTTGATCTGATTCGTAATAAAATCTAGTAAATGTCCCCCGGCGTTTACCCCACTGATTTTGGTGGTTGACCTTCCGGGGTAAAAATAAATAAATATTAAAGGCTAAAGGGTCAAATAGGTACATGAACTAACTTAAAGTGTTCAATTAGCCCCTTATATAGGAGATCCTGCCCGGCCGTCGCCAATTGGGGCGGTTCCCGGTTTCATTTTTTGATGAAATTTTTTGAGCTTCTTCTTCATTAAGTCTAGTTTACCTATATCAAATTTCAACTAAAAATTAAATCGGGAAGGTAGTCAAATGATTTTCCGAAATGTACTGCTCTGTTTAACTGCGCAGTTATCTTCAAAAAATCATTTGACTGTCTTCCCGGTTGAATTTTTAGCACAAATTTGGTATAGGTAAACTAGACTTAATGAAGAAGATGCTCAAAAAATTTTATCAAAAAATTCCACCGGTAACCGCCCCAATTGGCGATGGCCGGGCAAAACCTCCTATATAAGGGGCTAATTGAACACTTTAAGTTAGTTCATGTACCTATTTGACCCTTTAGCCTATATTAATCAACAAAACGTTCATCACTTGGCTGGCAATACAATCAAAGAAGCGATAACATTTGTTGATCCTGTAATGGGCACAGAGCCAATGACTGGCAAACCAGACTTCTCATCACCTGACCTAAATTCTAGAAACTTTCTACTAGGAAATAAAACAACATGCAATTCGAAAGAAAAACACAAACCAAATAAAAACGGAATTAAACCAGAATTCTTTCATCTTCTTCCAAACCCTAGACTCTCTTGCACTCCATGGCGGTGACTCGGGAGGGGGGCGAGCCCGTCGTTCATCCGTCTCAATAGTCATGCTTTTGTATTGATTGATGATATTCTCCAATGATATCCCTTGTTGCTGAATCGAACCCAAGCTCCACCACAACTTATCCGTCTTTTCTTTGTCTACTCTCGCCCTTCGACCAAAAATAGCAGCAGAAGACAAGCCACGACCGCCATAGCGTTGCATCCATGATCACGAACCTGCTTGTACGACAAAAATCCACTGACGGCCGCTCTTCGTCAATTAAGAAAGCGGAAGAACAAACCCTAGAGAGGGAGAGACCACCTTTTTGCTGGGAAAGATTGATTAAGAATATGTTTTGTCATTATTGAATCAAAGAAAATTGAAAGGAAAGAAGAAAAGAAGAGAAAAGAAGGAGGCGGCAACTAGGGTTTTTCCATTGCTGTTCCTCCAACGAGGGTGTTTTAGAGGTCAAATTTTAAGAAGTGTTTTACTTTATATACTCAATTAAAATAAAAATCTCATTACAAATTAGGGTAAGTAACTAATTACAAATAATATTTTATTTTAAATTAGATATTGAATATTGATGTAATATGAATGATAATGCCAAATTACTTAAAAGTAACATCATTTTCAACAAAAAACTATCAATTGACTATCACGTGGTAATCAATCATTGATTAAACATAATTGCTTCCTTTATAATAGTTATGATGGGAATCGTTATTGAGTGTCGTTCCAACAAAAAGAGTTCTTCAGTAAAAGTACTAATGAGTGCATTTTTTCTCATTCTCATGTTTCTTAAAGCAACTTCAATGCTATGTTTTAAAATCCGACCCAGACCGCTGGCCCGGTCCGACTAGAAACCCGCTCACCCGTCCATAAATGCGGGCCAGTCAGTGACCAACTCGTAGAACACCCATAACCCGGAAAAACCTGGGGTTATTTTTAAATATCTCCCTTGAGGTTTTAACAATTGACACTTTGAGATAAAATATCAAAATACTAGTATAGTACCCGTGCGATGCACGGGGTGATTACTTCTCGTATTTATTTACGGAGGATATGTCAAAATAAGAAAAATTACATAATAGGATGATAAAAGAATATTAAAAAGAAAATGATAGAAAACATAAGGGATAATAGCTCTAAATAGGACTAAATTAATCCTTAAATGCATAAATAGGACTATGTGCCCAAGGCTAGAGGCATAGATAATAAAGACAGAGGGAGTAAGAATTAACAAAATATTTTTTTAAAAAAATAAAAAACTTAAAAAAAATAAAAAAATATGGAGGCCTTTCTCGCAGTCTCGTCCACCGCCCAACAATGCCACCTCAGATCGACAAAAAATGCCATGTTGGCATTATTTTCGGTGGTCAAAGCCGTTGATGTTGGGACTTGGGACTTGGGAGGTTGTTGAGACGACATCAGAGGCCTGCATATTTTTTTTATATTTTTTACATTCTTTATTTTTTTATTTTTATTATTAATGAAATATGAATTATATTAAAACAAAGCATGAGTAGAATAAGAAAGCTAGTTCTATTCAGGAATTTTTAATTTATAGTCCTATTTTTTGCAATCAAACCTATGTTTTTGTCCTAGATTTTTTTTTGATCATTTTTTGTCCTAGAGTTGAAAACCGATTCACAACCATTTTCATTAAAGATAGTGGACTCATTATATGCATAGAATTTCAAAAAACAATCTTACATCTTCGGAATTAAAAAACTTTATATGCAACTCCTTTTCCTATCTATGTTTCCCAACCTTCAAATACAAATTGTAACTCAGGAATACAAAAAAGTCTGAGAAGCACTTATCTCGTGCCATTTTCCAAAGTTTTGAGTATTTTATTCACCTAAAGTCAATTAACTTTGCAACTTCTCATTTTTTTCATTTTATCTATATTTCACCTATATTTTGTCTAGAGTTGTACATATACTGTTTACTCTTAAAAGATTACAAATGTAAAATAACAATATCACCATTATTTGTAAAATCATGACAAGCATTAATGTATCTTGTATTTCAGTGTAGAGTAATAGACTAATAGTGAAAAACTCTGCAAAAAAGGAAACTACAACATACGGAGTAACATTTTAACCAAACAATAAAAGATCGAAAAAGAATCATTATCAATACGTAACCATTGATAATATTTGTACGACAATTACTTGATAATTTCTATTTACAGCCAAAGTGGCGTTGAATCTATTCCAAATCATTTTATTGATTATTTTATTTAAACATATTTGTTTAATGTACAATAATTGTAATACTAATACCTTGATCTACTAAAGCAGAGAGATATTACTAATGGATGCCAAATTTTGTTACCTTACCAAATACTCTGTATATAATTCTATTTTTAAAATTGAAATAGATATAAAATCATGCATTTAAAGAAAATGATTTTTATATCTGCAAAATAATATGACCATTTTAAAGCACTTGCTTGACTCAATTTGAGAAGCTTGGTGAGTAGCCTCAATAACTATAGATGGGTCTGCCGCCTTCTTGATCTCAGGGTTTAGACCAACAACTAAATTTTGTCATTTCACTATCTTCTTTGCTACTTCTGCAAGGTAACTCGGAATCTCCAACCCAAATAATCATATGTAAGCATGTAAACTTAGATCCACACCATTATCCCAAACTAACTACGTTACTTTGGGATTGCAATAGTAAAAACATTTGGGTTCAATAACTCAAGTTGCCAATAATGTCTTTTGATTCCAAATATTTAAAACAAAGTTCATAATTTAATTTTTGTATATTGTAGGGATACAGTTATTTTAATATTTTATTTATGTCCTGGATCCATTTACCTTTACAAAGTGTAGTTAGAAGAGATAGTTTAGCAGTTTAATAAGACACTTAATTTCTTTAAAGGAAAATAATCTGATCAAGATGATCCTCATAGGACACCCTTAAATTTCTTGTTTCGGTCCAAATTTCCAGACCTGGTCCTTTATATATTCATGAGTAAATACATCATAGGTGTTCCATATAAATTATAAAGTCATTGTAATAGTTAAAAAAAAGAAAAAAAAATAGTTAAAAATGCAAGTCAAACTGGTACATACACTTTTGACTGGAAATGTCGTTTTTTGAAAGAAAAAGTAACTTGAAACTTGATAAGTGATCAGTTTAGATAAACCTTTGGCGGGTCATGAAAAATGCAATTCCTAGTTTAGAAATTTCCCATTTGCCCTGGCATCAAGCTAATGTGCAACACTAAGAAATATACATGAGTTTGTACTGCATTCGTCTCACAATGGTTATCATGTTTCAATAATTTAGCATAATTACTAATAAAATGGGAAATTTCCCATTTGCCCTGGCGTCAAGCTAATGTACTACATGGAGAAATCAACCTCCATGTAGTTTGACAACACAAGAAATATTTCAATTATGTACCACACAAAGATTACTTCTTTGCTAGGGAATGCCAACTGTAGATCGACTTGTATTTTTCTACGGCTTCATGAGCGCACACTGCTCTCATCTTTTATGATCAAGTTGAGCAGGTCCAGTTCATCACTTTAAGCTTCATTTCTTGACAAAGACCACTAAGAAATCATGTTCGTAGGTAGATGTTTCACTTGTTGGTAGGTAAAAGGCATGACTATTTACAGAATAATGGAATTATTTATATAAAAATGTGATGTTGCATTGGGATAACATCTTAGAGGCATGCGAACAGCCAACATTTATTTAAGTTTGTATTGGAATACCAAAGGTAAAATGAATGCATTAGTTAAAGCTAAGATGTAATATTATGTAGATTATTACGGAGTATTAAATTTGGCTGTTGAGCCTCGTTCCTGCATACCAAGAGCACCTTAAGAAGTGTGTCATCATTACTGCTACAACACATTTAATATTCTTTTTAAATATAATCCGGAAGACCGGAAGCATTATAGCATTAACATCCTGCTTTCACAAATTAAAGCAATTCAGCTCCCGGCCAAAAACTTTTTACACATTCCCGCCCAAAGTGTGCTGCAACTTTTGCGTTTTTGGGTATGTTTGGCAAATGGCTGTTAGCTGTTGTTGTTAGCTGGTTGTGTCAGCTGTTTCCTAACAGCTGGTTGTGTTAGCTGTTTTGACCGGCTGGTTATGTTAGCTGATTATAGATAATTGTTTGGTAAAATTGGTTGTTTCGAAATGGCTGATAGAGTGTAAATTGAACCAGCCGAATGAATAAGCTGCCCCCCTTAGCTTCTTCAACAATCCATTTTTTCAGCTTTTCAAACTCA